CCATCATGTTTCCATCATGTTTCCATCATGTTTTCATCATGTTTCCAGCCGGTTGAATAAAATCCATAATTGATGTTTCGCATCATCGCTTTCCTATCGTTGAGGTTTCACTCGACACACCAGGAAGTCATCCAGCAGTTCATACTCTTTAATTTTTCATGACTCCCTCCGATGTTTGGCTCCTAACGAAGACATGTTTTTAATTATGATACGTTTATTTAAAGATGGGAATAAACCAGCTATATAAAAACTCATGTAAAATTCATGTTTTCAGGTGTAATGTAAAAACAGAACACATGCCTGTGTGTAACTTCATTACATGAGGAACGCTGTTTTAGGTTAAACCACATATTATAATATTTACTAATATTTAACTCTTACATATTTAGACTAAAGGTCTGAACATGTGCCTAAATGTTAATAATTTATTCATGTGAAAACATATAATAAACGTTGAATGTGTGGAATCCCATAGGTTACTTTATTTAAAATAACAATGATTACTTGAAGCATTATAATGAAAAGGGGAATATAAAAAGGGAGTGTGGCGCTCACACACACTACCACTTTAGTCCACAGGGAGCGCCACAACCAACACAACATGAAACGTCCTTTTAGTAGCTTTAACTTGTTTTATTTTAACAACCTTCTGTGATTAAACTAATCGATCAATTGACTAATTGACCCGACCTGCGTTGGAAGCATTCATCCTGCCTGAGTGCCCTTCAGCAACACACTTAATCTCCTGACCTCCGCGATCAGTGATCCACAGAAAATGGCCGGATCGTTACCGTAAATAAATCCTCCCACAGCTGGTGTGTCACACAGTTACCCTCTCAGTCTCATGCACAGTCCTGACCATTAGTTTGTGTTGTGATGATGTCATCATTTTACTTGCACCGTGCTTTTTTAAAACACTTCAGCACAAACAGTGTCATGCTTGTGGAGGCCGCTACTCGTCCGTGAGTAGTGAGCACGACTGGATGAATCTGCACCAGTTTAGTGAGTTTGTAAACAGATGTTTTGATGTTGTTTTCTTGATTCTCCATTCACCGTGGAAACGTGTCCTCATACAACAGCTTCAGCAACACGTATGAATCTGAGCTTGCTTAGTTAGGTTCAGGCAACAAGAGATACTGAGTTAGGTTTAGAGAAGACTATTGCTTGAGTTAGAATAACTACTGACGTTGCGTTGCTGAAGTACAGAAGTTACAAATAAATCAAAGAGTTCGTTCAAGAATCTCCATTTTCTTTTGTACTAAACAAATGACTCAATGTTTAATAGTTCAATGTCTGATCGACTCCTTTTCTATTTCTATGGCTGCAGCATCGTGGGTTTGTGAATCTAATTATATAAAGACAGGTGCATGCTGGGACATCAGAATGATGAGGTACCTAGACATCCAGGTGAATTCGCTTCCAATGCAATCCTCTTTAATGTATTCATTCCTTCCTTTCATCTCCTCTGAGACGAACACTCACGTTACATCACAGCGTTCCTCGTCTCCAGAACTCACTGTTACACCGCTTACTGTACGTCTCAGTCTCTGCTCAGTCTCTGCAGCATCGCTCCGTTTGTGTGAGGGATTCATCTGCAGGGTGCACAGAAGTGTGATGTCATGTGTGACATCATAGAAGTAAAACACATGTCAGAAATGATACACATAATGAGAGTAAGTGATTATTATAGAAACATGTAAAAACAGCAGCAGTGGATATGATAGAATAATAATGATATTAAACGTAATAGTAGCAGTAACAGTAAATAAATGTCAATATTAATAATATTAATATGTTTTTGAATAAGGGCAAAAACCATGAACACTTTAGTTTATAAATACAAATACCTCACTAGAGCACCAAATGTGGATTCATCCGCCCTGAAAATAGTCCCCAACAAATGCTCTGTTTCCTCCTAATGTTTCAGGATGATGAATGTGATATTTGTCTTTTAGAGATTGGCGTCTTCTAATACCTGTAGTTCCCTAGTTGTCCACCAGGTGTCCCCAGAGTCTTCTGCACACCTGAGCCTCACTCCCTCAGCATGCTGCTGGTCAGTGTTGCAGCATTGTGTCGTTGATCAGCTGTAGTCTGTTTTAGGAGCTCCAGTGCACCATTGACACGATGTGATCATCAATACAGTTTGATTTTGTGTTGCCTGAATGTTCGGTTAGTGTGAGAGCGAGCTGCTGGGCCTTCTGTTTTTAATCATGTGTCAGCATTTTGTTTTTATTGATCTGCAGAGAGGCTGTAGAGGAAGCAGCCGTGATGGGAACGAGATGACCCTCAACCTGCAGTGATGGAAGATAACGGCGCCATAAAATGTGATGACAGCGAAACATAATGAGGGCAAAAGGGACTGAGCAGGAACATGGAGGCTGTTATTAATACTGAGCAATACATAATGACATGTACACTGACTTATCTAATGATAACTATAATAATAATAACAACAGTAATAATAATAACAATACATAATGACATGTACACTGACTTATCTAATGATAACTATAACAATAACTATAATAATAACAGTAATAATAATAACAATACATAATGATATGTACACTGAACCTATCTAACAATAACTATAACAATAACTATAATAATAACAGTAATAATAATAACAATACATAATGATATGTACACTGAACGTATCTAATTAATGTAATCTAACTATAATAATAATAACAGTAATAATAATAACATTAATAATAATAATAACAGTAATAACAATAATATTAACAGTAATAATAACAGTAATAATAATGATAATAATAATCTTACTATACTCTGTAATGCACAATAAATGCAGCACAAATTGCTTCTCAATAATAGAAAATAGACAAATAATAAACATAAGAACAGAGATAGAAAATGGAAAACAAAACACCTGATAATAATAACAATAATACAAATATGAAATGAAATACATAGATACATAGAATGTATTAAAATGAAATCCTAAAACATGGTCTATCCATCAATCTAAAAATACGACTTCCTTATCTCCTTTTCCTTCCTTTCCTCTCTCCTCCCTTCCTTTTCTATACATCTCCGTCAATTGTTCCTCTCTCTCTCTTCCCCCCCCCTCCCCCCCCCCCCCCCCTCTCTCTCTCTCTCCTAGCTCTCCGCCCAGTCATTCACTCATCCACTCATTCAGCAGCAGCACTAACTGCGCGTGGATTATTAAACACAGACGGATCTGAATATTCACCTGTGAGCAGAAAGCAGCTTCGAAACGGATTTAATGATTCTCGGATTTCCTTTACTGTGAAGTGGAATTATTCTTTATTTAGTTGTGACTCTCCCTCGTGGTGGATAATGTGGATTCTTACCGTTTAACGCACTCTTCAGGCTTTTAAACTGTTTCAACCACGTGACGTTTTAGGAGTATTCATTTTTGTTTCCAAAAAAACATTTTTTTAAACTTTAAAAACGCGACTTTCCCTGAAGCCTACTTCCTCTAAAAGACTGAAATATACATTTTATTTAGTTTTATATTAATATAAAAACCCGGATTTAATTGCTGCTGTCACAGAACACTCGTTGCCAGACGAGGCACGTGCCGGCATGTTTCCGCGGGCATGGGAGGTTTAACAAATGTTCAATCATCCCCAAAGAACTGAACAAAGACCGAGAAGAGGGAACCAGGAACCCGCTGAGGTACAGAGGAGAACGTCTCTTTGGTATTGATCGATATGTGGGAGGTTCTGTGTGTGTGTGTGTGTATGTGTCCGGAGGGAAGGCATTCATGTATGGAGGGTCATTAGTGCCAGCAGGGATTCTACAGTTTGAATATTATTCTGTAAAAATATGAAAAAATAAATATTGGCAGCAAAATGAATGATGACACAGAAGCTAATTGTTCTCTTATAACAACTATAAAAACATATTGTTCATGAGAGAAGTGTGTTGTTTTACCGAGCGTTCTCTGTAATATGCTAATGAGGAAGCCTCTCAACACCAACAGAAGGTATTTTTAACAGAAAGGTTTCTTGTTAAAATCAGATCTATAATAATAAGATGTCATTATTGTATGATGGATTTAGTATTATATTATTTACTTGTGTGAAAGAGTCAATAATGTGACGTTTAATACAATAACACACAAGGTTTCAAACTTTTAATACGATAAATAGTTTGACAGGAAGATGTGCTTAAGTATATAAAAAGTAAAAGTCGTCCAGTCATTCTAAAATAAATCAATGAATTGTTAAAGCAACGTTGTTTTCCAACTGTAAAATGTCACATATATATGATAACGTGTACAATAAATAGTGTTTCTGTTAGAAAAACAAATATTTGCAGATGCAACGCATCGTATACGAGCTGTACATCTTTATGAGCAACTATTAACGCAGCCATCGGAGTAAAATAAGAATAAGTGGTATTTAAAGCAGTACTTCTGATTATTAAAGTAAAATTCTCACAATCATTGAACACATTTCTTTAACAAATAAAAAATGAATTTCAGATCCAGTTTATTTTTCCAATTCATGAATACAAAGCAGAATGATTTTGCTTGTAATGTCTGCAGCCTCAGACACAGTTTAAATGAATAAAAATGACCTTTTCACTGATATCGTTTTACTGTTAATTCATATTGTGTTGGTGACCTTTGACTCTTTGAATTCCTCCCACTGCCTCCTGTTCAACACCGGTTAAAACAGCTACGTGATTGGAATACGTTAATCAGAGGCCGACGTGTTCCTTGAATGCATCATTCTCACAGTAAACACAGAGTCTAATGAATGAACGCGTCATTAAACACTCATCACCTGCTGTGTAATGAGCTAAGTGTGTGTTGTGTGAGGTGGGCAGGGCTGCCGGGATAAGAAACTGTCCTCTGGGAGTTTTTCTCCCACGACTCAGCAAAGACCTCTCAGGACTGACGTGGATGAAATGCCCGAAGTGAAGCGGACCGTGACCGTGTTGTTGGACTTCAGGAAGGAAGAAGGTGTCGTTCTTCCAGCTCAGGAAACAGGACTTATGTTTTGTTAATTTGTCCCTTGTGTGTCTGCAGTTAACCGGGGATCAATCATTCAGCTTGGACTACCTGCTGGGCTTTGGAGGATGGCCCGCTGGAGGGAGGGCGCCGTCCGCCTGCTGGTTCTGCTGGTTCTGCTGGTTCTGCTGGACCCGCCGCGGCCTGTCGCGGGGCGATCGCTCCGACACCGCGTCCCGAGACGCCAAACCCGGGAACACCACCGGCAGCCGCTCCGGAACATCACGCTGGCCGTCATCCTGCCGCAGACCAACACTGACTACCCGTGGGCGTGGCCTCGCATCGGGCCCGCCTTGGAACGGGTCGTCAAGACTGTCAACGCCGACCCCACTTTGCTCCCGGACTACAACCTCACCTACGTCTTCAAGAACAGCGAGGACAAGGACGGCATCTGCTCCGAGTCCATCGCGCCGCTCATGGCCGTGGACCTCAAACTGGCGTATGACCCGTGGGCTTTCATCGGGCCCGGCTGCTCCTACACCTCGTCGCCCGTCGGCCTCTTCACCACCCACTGGGACGTCCCAATGGTTACGGCGGGCGCCCCGGCCGTGGCCTTCTACGGCGGCGTCTACCCGTCCATCACCAACACGGGCCCCACCCACAAGAAGCTGGGGAGGTTCGCCCTGCAGATCTGTGAGCACTTCGGGTGGCGGGAGCACGTTATGCTGGTGTTCAACGACAACAAGGCGGACGACCGGCCGTGTTACTTCGCCGTGGAGGGTCTGTACACGGAGCTGAAGAGCGTCAACATCACCACCGTGGACCAGGTGTTCGAGGAGAACAAGCTGCCGGTCAACTACTCCCAGATCCTCTCCGACATCCAGAACGACGGCCGAGGTGAGTCGGTTCACATCGTTTTATTGTACGTCTAGTTTGTGAAATGTTCCCACGGGTTCTAACAGACGAGACGCTTTCACAGAGTCCACTTGGTTCTGGTAGCTGAGACCCGACCTGGGGCCCAATATTCAGGCCCTCCACATATAGATTGTTTCAGCTCATTTCCTGTTGAAGTGTTTGTGATTGACATCAGCTGACAGGAAGTAAACATGGACCCACGCTGTTCGAAACGGTCGATAAAGATATGTTATTTTTTTAAACAGATATTTCCCCCTTCCTGTTAAAGATCCGGTGTGTTGGATCTGGCGCCATCTAGCGGCAAGATTGCAACCAGTTGAAGCTTCTTATGTTGAAAACGTGAACACGTGAATAGTCGTATTTGGAACCAGTTGTTGTGGGAGCGGCTCAGGTCATTTAGTGTGTTTGTGGTGGGACGTGAGTGGTGGAGCGGCAGATGTTGGTGAGCGAAGGGTTTGTCAGCGAGGCTGAAGAGAGTTCGTTTAGCTGTGAGGATTTCAAGTGAATTCAATAAATTCTGCAGCTCCTGAAGTCCAACAGAGGCCCGGCGTCCCCCCTTTTTTTTCAGACCAGGATCAGGAAGCCGAAGCAGGTTGGTTTGTCCGCTCTGGGCTACCGTAGACACATGGCGGCCGGCTCCATATGTAGATATAAACGTCTCATTCTAAGGTGATTATACACTAATGAAAACATAGTCATTAATAGTATGTGTGACGCTAGTTATTTCTTTACATATTTGATACCTATTTATCAAACATCTTCCTGGTATACGACCCGAGGCGCCATTCTACACATTAGTGTGTAGAAATGTACACAACAAGGTGTTATTTTGTGTGGTTAGTTCACATTAAGAACGCAAATATTACGCAGCAAAAAAAGAGCTTTTTCATCAGCCAATCAGGTTGTGAGGAACTGAGTGAGTTACATCTTTATTTAGTAGTCTGAAGACAGAAAACTTTATTGCTAAACTTTCAACCTTGATAAAAGCAGCGCACATCAGATCCACTCCTTTCGTTCTTACCTTTCACAATAAAAGCCCCAGACATTTTTTGCAGGTGTGTATTTAGCTTTGTTCGTGTTTAGAAGTCCTCTTCATGAATTGTTTTGTGTCTTCAGTGAGCTGAAGCTCTGCTTGCGTGTGGACGAGAGGCCTTCTATCGGTGCAGTCTCATCAGGTCTGACGGGTCCTGCTGTGTGTTCATTAATATAATAGTGGTTATTAATATTCTCAGTTCTGGTCAAATATTTCAATGCACCGACACGCACAGAACCAGGACCTGCAGCCAGCGTCCACGTTATTAGATGCACCTGTGGGGCTCCAATCAGCGGTGCTCATTGGACAAGCTCTCCTCAGCCTGCTGTTGACGGTGAGCTCACTGCCTGCAGATGGAATCAATCCGTCCCTTTTGGTCTCAGCGTCTCCAGTTTCCTGTAATTTAATCCTAAAAGGAAAAACAGATTCCTTCAGATTCAAACGGTCGGCTGTAGAACAGCTGCCCTCTCCTTCTTTCATTGTTCACCTGAACACATCTCCACTGAGTCCAGGCTGCAGGACTTAACCTCCGATAAAGACCACAAATAAAAAGCAGAGTGCAGAGCGACAGAATGAGAGCAGAGCAGGAGACGAGGGGTCGAAGTGCAGCAGAGACGTCCTAGTCCTGATCCTCTATGTGAACCAGTCTCAGTGTAGTCCTGATCCTCTATATCACACGTGTCAAACTCAAGGCCCGCCACGTCATTTTATGTGGCCCGCGAATCCACCAGCAACAAAAAAAAAAAAAGTAAAAGTTTTTGTTTTTTTTTAATTTTGGAAAAAAAATTTAAGTTAGACTTGAAAATAAAAGTATCCCCATGGTCGAAATTATGAGATAGAAAGTTAAAATTATGAGACAGCATGTTGTCTGTGTACCGACATTAAAACTATCACAACAGGTGGACAGGAGAGGGAACAGCCCGTAAAGAGGTTTCCCAACAAGTGATTGAGTTGAAAAAGATCAACAAATAATCCCAAAATGTCCACGAAGAGAAGAATCGATGCAGAGGGAAGAAGATGTAATTTAAGATGGGAAAGAGAATACATGTGTGTGCTTCAAGGAGAACAACGGGTCTGTCTTCTGTGTTATGAGGCGTGTCGGTGATGAAGGATATAATCCACGTCGGCATTTTGACACCAAACACGGAGCTAAATTTAGCCTCCAAGAAAAACATCAAATTGTCCAAGAATTAAAAGGCAGA